ATTGTATCAAAATAAATATAATCAGATAAAACTAATTAGATAAAATATAATAAATAAAATATAATGAAATAAAATATAACAGATAAAATAAAATCGATCAAACTCCTGCAGTCGGAACTCTTAAATCCGACATGAGTTAATTTTTTTTTCCAAATAAACTTTAAAAAAGATTTGGATAAAGTTTTAAATTTAAAAGTTGGATAAATTTTTAAACATTTGGATAAACTTTCGGCCAAGCCATATTAATTATTGAACGCTTCTACTCGGAATTGCCAATTCCGACTGATTAAAAGCAAATAAATGTGGCATGCCAAATTTGTACGGGTAATTCGGAGCTTTCAATATAATGTTGGTTTTCCACATTCTGTCCATAATAATTGGAATAAGATTTATAACTCCTAACATAAAAAACAATCATACCTCCCTCCCATCAGAAGATTCTCGTCCACTATTCACATGTTCAACTTAAATCATTTTTAATATTTTACTCTATAAATATTTTTTTGTTGTCAAATTTACATTTTTTATCAGACTTTGTAGCGGTTTTACTGTAGTTTTTGAATATGTTAATTTTATTCACTAAAAATAATCAGATGTGAACATGGATTAAGTTGTTTCATCGTCAATCAAGCATTGTAAACCGTAAACGGTAACCTTCTAGCGGGACGGAGGAAGTAATAATTAAGTCTCCTTCTCAACCATTCATTTTTGAAAATAATGATACTCCATATATACCAACTCCCAACTATTCATAAATGTACAAGTCAGTAAAATTTACTCCCTTCGTCTCATTGGACCAACTTTCTTTTTCTGTTTGTCCCAAAAAAAATTATCACTTTCCTTTTAATGTAATTAATTTGTGGCTATGTTCATTTTCTTTCTCCTCTACACAAACGTCAATCACAAAATTTTTATTATTCTAATTTCACACCCAACAATAACTTGACAAAGTTAAGTAAGACAGAGTTAGTAAATTTTTTTATATAAGACCGTAAAAGTTATATCGTAAAAGTTATTCGATTTTAATGTTTGAAATTTATATTTTAAAAAATATATGCAATAATGGTATCATATGAAAGATGGTAAAAATTTATGCATTTTAATATTTTTTTTTTGGAAAATTTGAAGTATAAATAAAAAGTTATAACAACTTTTAAAACATTGTTTTTTTTAAATTTTTGGGTCCACGTTAATTTCTTTCCGCACTGTAGCAAACTTGACCCAGGGATGGGTCTAACTTTTTTAAAATATATATATATATATATATATATATATATATATATATATATATATATATATATATATATATATATATATATATATGGCATCTGAATGAGCTATTCTAACTAAGGATTTTTTTTTTTTAATTTTTAAAATGCCCGTCGGAATTGGCTCTTCCAACAAGAGATTTTTTTTTTATTTGTAAAATGCCCCAGTCGGAATAGGGTAATCCGACAGCAGAAGTCAATTAAATTTTTTCAAACCCATCCCCTAGTCGGAAGAGGACAATCCGACTCCCGTATTTTTGGAAACCCTAGTTTTATCCCCGTAATTTGACACCTCCTGTTAACTATTCCCGTATTTTGGGAAATCACCCTCACTTATGAGCCATTACAACCAAGTGAATATCATGAAAGTTTCTGATCGTGAATGTATGAAGGGAAAAGTATAGAATTAAATGGTTAGTACGTAACTTAGTAAGTCAATACAATTATATGCTTTTAATTGGACTTATTTTACTTACATATTAGACCGGATCATATCAAACACAAATAAACCGGATGAGACTTCGATGATTATAAAATACACAAAGTTCAAACACATGATGAGGTTTAGTTACTTTCTTTATTAAGGGTACGTTAGGAATTATAAATAATTAATTTTTTACGAGAATTTTATGTGCCTTTGTTTAACAATTTGGTGGGTGTCTTTAGAATTCCCCTTTTTTGCTTATCGGTTTTGGCAAGTTTGGCACGCAAAAATGGGTCTAACCACATGTCAATACCCACCCGTAAGAGCGGACCGAGTAGTTCACTAGTCTCCCCGGCACGAGAAAACTTTAAATTTCCAAAATTATAACACAATCTTTTAATAATACTCTTAAAATATTATTTTAACATTTAAAATATTGTTAATACACTTGTAAAGTTTATAGACATTTCATCACATACACAAAAATATTCATGAGAAACTATAACTAAAACATAAAATTCAAGCACAAAGTATCATTTTTAAGTATAAAAATATGTATTATGTTGGTTGGGCTAGCCGTTAAGAACTAAAAACTTAAATATAAACATATATAATAAACTGTAAAATATATAGAGATAAATAAGTAAATATAAATAAAAACATTTTCATGTATATAAACTAATAAATTAGAATACACACACGCACGCACGCACGTACACTAAATATAGCGGGTCTGGCTTATCATTCGAACGGGCCTACACCCTAACCCAAGCCCGCCCATATGCTATTGCGGGCCCGGTCCGGTGGTGGGTAAATAGATATGCCCAAGCCCGCCCACCCATTTATGTATGTGGGGCGAGTGGGTGATAGTCGTTATATTTACTTGTGTTTAACATAAATATTTACAATTATTTATTGAATAGAAGAAGAGAAGCCGGGTAAATACCTTCATAATGAGAGCTAGAACATAAAACATTGCGATGATTAGCTTTTTGGACCAAGAAGATGATGTTATATCCATTAATTCGAGTATAATTTATAGTAGAGAACTTTAAGTGACTCGATTCAAATTTCATGTGAATGATAACTCAATAGTTACAAATGTTCTAAAGAAGTCATGTCTAGAATAAGAAAGGATCAAGACCTAGTTAACTAATAAAGTTATATGTTGTTGGTGAGATTTTACGATGCATATCTCTCATTGTTTTATCCTTACTCTGTGATTGGATTGTTAATTCTAGTTTTCATGGATAGAAAGCTTCATTATCTACAATTTTGGTGAAAGAATCATGTCCAAATTGATAACATACAAAAAAATAGATTGTCCGGAGCCAGGCAGGCCACCACTCGCGCCGATCATGCTGAAATTCTGGAAAAAGCTACTGTATGCAACCGGGGCCGGTCATGTGACCCAACCATTTCCGGTCATGTGTGTAGTTCATGGAAAATGACTCCCAACTGACATCGGTCATGCCTGACTGGCACCAGTCATGTCTAACTGGTGCCACTCGTGCTAAAATCTGTAGAAAATCAGAGAACGTGCAAAAATATATTGAGTTGAAACGAAGATATTTGAAATGTATGACTTAGAAAATTTGCCCCACATTGATTGAGGATCATTAATAGACCATCAAAGATCATTTTCAAGCCCATATAATCCATCCAATCCATCCCAAACTTACCATCTAATCTCATTTCAATCCATTAGTCCATAACTAGTTTTTATAGTTTTTCTTTGTTCTTCATGGTAACATTTCTTCTAAACATTGATGTTTAGGTAACATTTCTTTTATATTTTCATGTTATGTTATTTCAAAGCATTATATCCTTGATTAATATGAGCGTTAGAGGCTAAGTCCTTAAGCCAAGGTTCGAGATGAACCTCTACACTCGCTAGTTTTTTATATTTGTTCTAAGTCAAGTTTTAAGATTTATTCTTCTTAAGTTTAAATTTCTATATATGTTATGAAACATAATATTATAACATATGTATTGCTATGAAGTAACTAAAGTTAAAATATCAATTGAACACTAAAAGAAGCAATTCACGTTTTACTCTCTTTAAACTAAATCTATACAATTATGATACTCCCTCTGTATTAACGTAAGTGTCCGAGTAGGCTTTTTACATATTTAAGGTAATTTATAAATTTACTGTACACTTTTTGAAAAAGTATGAGAGTTTTGGTACTGTAGGAGTACTATTTACTTTATTAAAGAGTTTTAGTGTATTTTATGTATGTTACATTTAAAACTTTATGGTTTTGAAATTCACAATATATTTTGTTTTTGTATTTATTTCATCTTATTTGTCATGCTTGTCTTTTATACAAATTACATTGATATGATATTACGGTGCTTCCTGCGTCCCCCTATATATAATATCCCCATTTTTTCATTTTTGGATGTCCCCTTATTATTGTCTCATTCCATATTTGGTAACATTTGTGTGTTTCTAATTCATTCTTACTTTATTCTACTTTATTAACTCATTATCAACCACATAATTCTACTTTTTTTAAAAAACACACCACTCTCTTCTATCTCAATATTAAAAAGATGAAGATAGTATATGTTTATTGAAGAAAAATGCTTGGTGTATACCTTTCGTACATTCGTCTGTCTCACGCACAAAGTTGTCTGTGGACATATAATTGTTTGTGCGTGAGACAGACGAATGTACGAAGGTGTACACAAAATGTGTACACCAAGCACATTCGTTATTGATGCTTTTGTGAAGCTTTTCTGCCTGGGCCCTCCAAATTGTTCGAGCCTGCCCTGTATGCTCCATTGCTCCCTATAATAATGAACGTTGGACATTCTGTGGGAGAATTTCCTTTTGCATTTTGGATATAAGAAAAAGCTAGGTGGGGTAAGCAATGCTCTTCTTATTTTTGAAAATATTTTATTTATGCACATACATATACTCATCCGTAAATAAAATATTTATTTACCCAAATTGAGGAGAAAAGCTTATCAAAATTGTACAAAACCTTTCATATAAGAAGAGAGAAAATATATTTGCTAATATTTATGTGACTATTACTCATGCCACATATGCAATGTACACATTGTAGCATTGGAGATGTTCTGATCCGTATGATCAACTGAGTGGCCGGATAACCACTAAATAATACTCTAGCTACATTTATTAGGTACAATATAAATATGAAATTAGAGTTTGATACAGTTCATTAATTAATTAACATAATTGTAAGAACAACGTAACTTCTATTAGCTAGACTTGTAACAGTTAATATGAATGTGAAAGCGATCTGTGAAGTACGTAACTTTATCTATTGTTTCACATTAATGTTCATGTCAAGGGAAATGAAAATGTCGAATGTGAGCATCTATGTCATTTTATTGCTAGGACTGCTTTTATCAGGAAAAATTAGGCTCTCGTTATGTGATCTTACCCAATGCTCAAAGCCGGAACCAAATGATGAGTGTTGGAAGCTTATACTAGAAAATAATGGAGGTGTTCCACCTTTTCCTGATTGCTGCCCTGAGGTTAGAGACTTGGGATTTGAATGCCTTTGGTTTTGGGTGGATCACGAAAATGCTAGCATGGAATATAAAGAATTTGATGACGAACTAATCTACTTCAACACTAATGAGACGTGGTACTTTTGTCAAGAAAAGCCAAGCCTCAGAAACGTATAAATCCGGCCTGTAATGAGCTCATTTTGTTAATTTACTTTCAACTTCCGTTTATGTAATTAAATATCCGAGGAATTTACCAAAAAACGGAACTTTTTTGTCTGACAATCCAAAAAGCGGGAGTTGCGATTAGGTTACCAAAATACGAGAGTCGATTTACCTCTTCCGACAGGAGAAGGAGCTCGAAATAAACAAAATAAACACCTAGTCGGAATTGGAGAATCCGACTAGGGTATTTCTAATTAATTTTTATTGTTTTCCTTTATTTTAGTATAATAAAGGAATGATAAAACCCCATTACAATACAAACATACTCCCTATAGTCGGAACTAGTAAATCCGACAGGAGTAATTCTTTTTTTTTAATAAATAGATCCCATATATTTTCATTTAATTATATAAATCGGATTGTATACAATTTATTTACACAAACACAGAATAGGGAATTGAAGGGATTTGTGTTCTCCATCAAATATTCCCATTATATCGAAGCATCAGATTACTTACTATGCATCATACCCTTATTATTTTTGTGTTAATTAATTATTATAATACAAATTTCGAAATTAGGAATTTATAATTTGAGTTAAAATTCGAATTTAGGAATTTCGAGTTTATATTTTAAAATGAATAGTATGGAGTTTGATTTTTTAATATCAAAATATTGGTTACTTTATTTTATTTATTAATCCATCCGTATTGTGAATAAATTCATAAAATGAAATACAAATTTGATTTTGTACACCCGTGCGAATATTAAAACTCCTTGTCAATTTTACAACTCATGTTCATGATATAGGCCGATTACATTTCACATGATTGTATCCTTACTGGGTCGAATTGGATTTTTTATGATCCGGGTCTTAAAATGTGAATCAAAAGTGTGAATATTAAAATTCCATCTGTATATTAAGAAACTCGTGGTCAATTTCACAACTCGTGTTCATGATATAGGTTGATTGCATAAACATCGGATGATTGTGTCCTTACTGGGTCGAATTGGGGGTTTTATGATCCGGGTCTAAAAACGTGGATCACAATTGTAAATATTAAAATTCCATCTATATATTAAGTAACTCGTGATTAATTTCATAACTCGTGTTCACGATATAGGCTGATGGCATAACCTTCGGATGATTATGTCCTTACTGGGTCGAATTAGGGTTTTATGATCCGGGTTTAATAATGTGAATCACAAGTGTGAATATTAAAAATCCATCTATATATTAAGTAAATCATTGTCAATTTTACAACTCGTATGCATGATATAGGCTAATTGCATTTCAGAAGATTGTATCCTTACTGGGTCGAATTGGGGTTTTTATGATACGGGTCTAAAAAATGTGAATCACAAGTATGAATATTAAAATTCCATCAATATATTAAGTAAATCATTGTCAATTTTACAACTCGTGTTCATGATATAGGCTAATTGCATTTCAGAAGATTGTATCTTTACTAGGTCGAATTGGGATTTTATGATCCGGGTCTAAAAAATGTGAATCACAACGGGGGTTGAATCACAACGGTTATATTTTCTCACATTTACGGATTTGTCATTTTACCATGAAGACACAACGGGGGTTTGGAACACTGGCGGTGGGAACATATCAGGGCCGAGCACCCAACCTATCGTTGAACGAAGACGAAGATGAAAACCGGTACATCGTGTCTATGGGTGGGGGGGTTTTCATTTTATGAATTTAATTCAAAATACGGATGGATTAATAAATAAAAAAAAAGTAACTAATATTATTTTGATATTAAAAAAGGGAAAGTTCCTGAAATATGACTAAAACAGTTTCAAAATTCCAAAATAGGACTGTCATGTTTTTTATTCCCAAAATAGGACTAATTATTACCATGTTTAGAAAATACTGCCATGTTTGAAGTCTGGTACTGCCAAAACATGGCAGTAATTAGTCCTATTTTGGGAATAAAAACACGACAGCCCTATTTTGGAATATTCAAACTGTTTTAGTCATATTTTGAGTAATACTACATATAAATAATAAACTTAACTATACTTCAAATAAATAATAAAACAATAAAGTTAACCTTAAAATACAAATAAGTAAACTTAAGCTTACAAATAAATTATAAACATAACGGTGCAATACAAATAAACAAATGATTAAACTCAAAAAACAAAAGTGGTCTGATAGAGGAATTCCGACTAGGTGGGTGTGAGGAATTAATAAAATATAAAAATAAAATAACGCTGTCGGATTAAGGAATTCCGACTGGGTGGATCATATCAATAGTACTCTCGCAAAATCCTTCTCCTAGTCGGAAGAGCGAATTCCGACTCCCGCAATTTGAGAAAACCTAGTTTTATCCCCGCAAATTGGCATCCCATGTTAACCTTTCCCGTATTTTGGGAATTCACCCCACAGACTTCACCAAGTCACAGTCATGCAAATCGGATCTCAACGTTTCAAACAAGCAAACAAAGCAAGAATAGAAAAGTAAAGACACACGATATGATGACGCAGTTCGGAAGAGAACTTCCTAATCTGCGGGATTTCAAGAGGGGAAACCCGGTCCCAGGCAGATCCACTAGCTCAGAATAGGGTTTACAATCAACATGGTTGCAAAGTAATTAGACACAGACCAGAATCAACATGCAATATACAAACATACAGCTCATAACGATAAACTACTAGAGAAAGTTCAGAGTTAACCAAAAAACGATTCCAGTCAGGAATCGAAGAGCAGAAGAAGGCTTCCGGTAGAACCAGCAGGCTACTTCGTTGAACAGGTTTCCTCCTTCCTCGCAATCGACATGAGTTGATGGAGTTCTATCGCATGGGATAACAGATCCAAGGATCAGACTCTCTCTCTCTCTCTGGATTCTCTCTCTAGGGTTTGAGTTTATGCAGCGGAACAGTGCAGATGCAGAAGACGAAGGTTATATAAATAACCTTTCATCCGGGCAGAAAATATAACCAAGAGGTCGGACCCAAAATAGGCCCAACAGCAATCAGTTAGCAGATCAAGCCCAATGCACCAACCAACCAACCAACCCACTAAAGAGATAACCCAAAGATAAAGAAAAAATTAAAACAAGCCTAATTACTTTGCCATCCTATCTTAATTATAACAAAATAACATATGAGAGAATTAGGATTAAATAATTCAACAATTTTCCCTCCTAAGACTCATTCTCATTCAAAGAACTCCAACATGAGAATCATCATCGCTAGTTTCACATGATCTGAGAGACATAAATTTCCCCATTCATCATTAACCCATCTTTGAACCTTTTATCAAGGTACCTCAAAGATTTTAAAGAAGCTCCTCCAAAAAAAGAAATTTATCAGTAGGGACAATTTTTGTTCCAAAATCAGCAGGATTTACATCCACAGAAATCTTTTCAATATTAGTATTACCATTGGCAATTTCATCCCTAATGTAATGAAACCTTACATCTATATGTTTGGTTTTCTCATGATACATAGGATCTTTGCAAAGGTAAATAGCACTTTGGCTGTCAGAAAAAATAATAGGGACAAGACTGTTTCCTAGAACCTCCCCCAAAATACCTTTAAGCCATTTGGCTTCTTTAATGGCTTCAGTGGCAGCAACATATTCAACCTCAGTAGAGGACAGAGCCACAACAGATTGCAATTGGGATTTCCAAGAAATACAGTTTCCAGCCCAGGTAAAGAACCAGGAAGTGGTAGACTTTCTAGTGTCTTTACATCCAGCATAATCAGAATCAACAAATCCTTTCAGGTCTAAAGAAGAATTGAAACTATACTTAAGACCTAGGTTTTTGGTTCCAGATAGATACCTAAGAGTATACTTCATAGCAGTCCAATGTCTTTCCCTGGGGTCAGACATAAATCTACTAAGGACACTCACAGCAAAAGCAAGGTATGGTCTGGTACAAAGCATAGCATACATCAAAGAGCCAGAAGCTACATCATAAGGGATTTTATCCATTTTCTTAGATTCCTCCAAAGAAATAGGATAAGAATCCCTCTGAAGATCCAAATGCTCTCCTAAGGGTATAGAAGTGCATTTAGAACCAAGCATGTTAAACCTATCCAAAATTTTATTCAAATAACTGCTTTGTGATAAGAACATGCACTTTTCAGGTCTATTTCTGCTAATGTCAATTCCTAAGATTCTTTTAGCAGGTCCTATATCTTTCATGTCAAAATGAGTTTTTAGATCATCTTTCACACTAACAACCATCATTTTGCACAGACCAATTATAAGGATATCATCAACATATAGCAGAATGTAAACAACATTATCAGTACCAACATGCTTAAAATATAAGCAAGTATCATATTTACTTTTAAGAAAACCAAGTTTATTCATACAAGCATCAAATTTCAAGTTCCATTGTCTAGGAGACTGTTTTAAGACATAGATAGATTTTCTTAACAAGCAAACATGATCAGGATACTTTTTACTCTCATATCCAGGAGGTTGAGACATGTAAATAGTTTCATTTATATCTCCATGTAAGAAAGCAGCCTTAACATCCATTTGTTCTAATTCCCAGTCAAACACAGCAGTCATAGCAAGCAAAAGTCTCAAGGTTTTAAATTTGACAACAGGAGCAAAAATATCTTGGTAATCAATCCCTTTCTTTTGTTTAAAACCTTTAGCAACAAGCCTGGCTTTATACTTAGGGGGATCAGTGGGATCAAGACTATCTTTTATCCTATAAATCCATCTACAATCAATGACTTTAGCACCTATGGGTTTAGGGACCAAAGTCCAAGTTTGATTAACAAACATAGATTGTAATTCCTCTTGCATAGCTTTAACCATTTCATTTGATTTGGAACTCTTTATAGCTTGTTCAAAAGTTTCAGGCACATTATTTTTAACAATTTCAGAGGCTATAAAGATAAACTCAGCTAGATTAGAGATGTATTTCCTATTGGGAATAATATTTCTAGGTTCTCTATCTCTAACAAGCTGGTAATCAGACAAGTTTGGTTTTCATGTTCATTAGAGGTACTATCATTTAGAGCAGTTTCACCAACATTATCATTTTCATCAGATAAGACAGGTACATCATGCAAATTACTCAAATTATCAAGTGAGGGTGAGGTACTACCTTCCTGGATAGAGTCAGTA